GATTTTTCTCCCCAGAAGTGGATTAAGAGTTTCTCAAAAGGTGGAGAAGCTGACAGACACTACAATAACTTGAAAAATCTATGTGGTAGGAATGTACTCCCTGTTCAGACTCTCTTCTGTATGATGGGTCCATGCCCAAATATTTGGCATGTATGGTTTGGAGGTTTTTGGTTTTTAAGCAAAGAAATTTGTTTCCAAAGCATTTCTATATCTCTTTCCCAAACTAGGCTGCACTAAATTATTGCTAATAGGGGTAATGTCTCATTTAGTTACAGGCTTCCCAAATTAGGCTTTAGCTTATGGTGGTCAAAACCAAATCAGCCCTTCCACTGCTGCAGTTGTCCATGTTTCTGGCTCACAAACCCAAACCAGTAGTGAAATGCATCCTCTTTCTGCTCCTTGCCCCCAAAAAGTCAGTGCTAATGAGCAGAATAAGACAAATCAATTCTGAAGCTTCTAGGTGATACATTAGGAAGAACTTTTCAAAAGAGACTGACTGAAGGAGAAGGGTTAGAGCTTCTGAGGCTTCAAAATGTTTGCCTGTGCAGCAGGCAGCGTGCCAAAGCTATTGTGTGCTCTGAGGCCACGTGTCAGCTGAAATTTGAGGGAGGTGGAGAGTTGACTTTGAGGCTGGCTCGAACAGTAATTGAACAGGACAAACACTTCCACCCTGCACAGGCTTTATTTTCAAGCTGTAGTGCAGTAGACACTTGAAAGCTGCTCATTAGAAGTCTATGAAGAGCTGGAGGTGCTGGGATGATACAACCAATTGATTTTATTGGGCAAAGCAACCCTTCAGGAGGTGCTTTCTGAGCACCAGAGGAAAGTGGCATTGCAGGGCTCCCTGTGGCAGGTCTGGGTTGGGGCACGGAGGGAGGAGCCAGGCCAGAGCAGTAAGGTAATATATCCAAATGGAGGTTTTAATATGCAGCAAACAACAGAACAAGTAACAAATAGAAAAATTACTGTAGACACATTTAATCAGGGTAATTGGAAAGCCTTTTTTAGGAGTTCAGTTTGTATTACCCAGCTCAGTGTAGAGAAATGTTCACAGTCGTATATCAGTTTCAAGAGTTGATAACACGGTGAATGATTGCCTGCTTTTTATCAGCTCTCTCAATGAAATTTTTCAAGTTAAAAGTAGCTGTTTCTGTTAAAAGAATAAACATTTAAACATTTAGGCATATGGGAGTTTGTAAAAACTGTCCAAAAAAATTAAAAATAACAATATGTCATTAAATTTTTGTCAACTAAGGTAACCTCAGGCTGCTGGTAATTTCTGTTCTAGAGAAGCTGAACTAATATGTTCTGGCCATAAAATGAGGGAGAAGGCCCAGTCAAAACCTAACGTTTCTGCCTCTACTGATTTTTAATATTCTGTACAAAACATCCATTAATACATATTGACATTAAAGGCTTAAGGAATTGTCATAGTGAATACGTAAATATCTTTCATTTCAAGGTATGATTGTACTAATCTGTTTCTATCATAGGGTTTTTCTTCGGTAAAATTACATTTTTCAACATTACATATATTTCTTAAGGATAAAATGAATATCTCTGCTCCAAATCTCCTAGGTTCTGTTTAAGAGGTGAGCTCTCAACAGCAAATAGAACCTAATTTTTCATCCTGCTTAAAACAGAGATAAAATGTTTCAGTTGAGTAGTAGAGGTATAAGTTATGTTTGTAAGGTACACCTCACTTTTTTCATGATAAAACAATTCAGCTCAAAACTTTTTTCTGGTTCACTAGCAAGATATTTATTACCATTGTAAATTTATTTAATACCTTCTTAATGTTACATGACCTCAGATTATTAAATGTCTATCAGACATAATAATAGCCTTCAAAGAGCATAATAAAACTCAACATCTGTAACAGTGCTACTGGGTACTGCAACATAATCTCAATTTAAAAAAGTGAAATTGAAGTTTTTAGGAATTCTTGTGTGTTACATACTCAGAGAAGATGCATTAATAAAATTAATGCATGTATTGTTGAGCTCTGTTCCACTTTGGAAGGAAAAGTCCAGCTCCTGGTTCTAGGAAGTGCCAAGATAGCTGCAGAGCAGCTGAAAAAGAAATAGATATTGAAAAGAAATATCAGATTTGCTATACCTGTAAGAAGCCCATTGTTTTCTGTCTGCAGTATGTGAACTCTCAAAAGTTGTTTTAATAATTTACCACATAGGTGTGCTCACAGTGGTTCATATTGCTATGAATTTTGAGATACTATATTGAGAAATGTGTGCAGCCTTTCTTTGAGACCTGGTGTTATATCTTCTCTCTCAACAGTGCTTTTATAATTATTTTCTTTTAATAGGAACCCAGAAAAAGATTTGCCATAGCACAGTTTAGCAGAATGAACTTAAGGTGTTATGTCCAAAACACCATGGGGAAAATTTCAGGTTATAAGGGTGTGCATTTTTAAAAAGTACTAGTTCATCTTTAAATACTCTTGCCACTGAAGAGGATGGTTTTGGGGCTCCAGGCTGGTGTATTTGTATAAGTAGATGCTTTTAAAAAAGGTGCCCTCATTGCACTGTGCTGATTGAAATTATCTTTTTGCATTGCAGTTTTTCACTTAGAACAGTACTATTAAACAAATGGCTTTTTTTCAGTGGGTTTTACCCTCCATTCAAAGAGAAGTTTGGTTAAATGCAATATGCAAGCAGCTTTGTGAACCATCCTGTAGTGGATTAGCCATTAGTGAAAGAAGTAAAAATTTAGACTCAAAGCCTAACTTTAAAATGGAAAGAAAAAATAATCATTGTGTTTTTGTGTCCTTATCAGACACAAAATATTTATTTTGCAGATTTGTTCTTTTCTGTGACTCCATATTCCTCGGCTGTAAGGGATGTAATTTTAAATTTAGAGTGAATTGTTAATTACAGCATTTTTTACACTAACTAACTGCAAAGATCCCTGGAGAAATCTCAGTTCTTCTGCAGAAATCCATGTGAGATTAAAAAGCAGTGATGTGTGTTTAGGGTGCAGTGATGCTGTGAGTGCTGTGTGTTCATAGTGGTGCCACTTCCACAGAGAGTTTATTTTCTTTGTTAGTTTGTAAAGTTCAGGAGGAAAACAGTGCCTCTTGTCAAAAAGGTTCCAGTGAAGACCATGCACTAATTAAAAGCTGATCTTTCTAGAGGGAATTTGAACAAAAATAATGCTGACTCTCTAACCTAGGGGAACTGCAGCCACTGCAGAGGAAAGGGGATCATAAATCCTTAGCATAAATCCCCAGATGTTTAACAAAATGTTGGAGCAAGTCCAGAATAAAAGAAGGCAAATGGGTGGGGTGGGATGAAATGCACTCACTTATGGGAGTTTGCAGGGGCCATTCCTGCATTTAGGATTTTAGAACAGCCCAAGACAGAAGAGCCCTTGGGAATTCCTGAGGAGGAGTTTTCCTTGCCCCAGAGTGTCTGCAGTGCTCAGACAGTTGTATTGGCTGGTAAATCCAGCACACTGTGATGCTGGAAAGGGAGAAGTTGTATTTTTGGGTGACAGGATAAAAAAATGGCAATCTCTTATTTACAGTCAGGAAACATATAGTGAAACTGGGATTTATGTGCATGTATTAGGGTAGGAAAGCAAAGAAAAAAGATGAAGAGACTTGGTGTTCTAGGTGGGCATTCTCATGTGCCAGCCATTGATCTGAGAGCTCTTGAGCTCATTATCTTCCTTTTCAGCTGAGCATAATCAGCATTAGGATTGTAAGTGAAGGGAAATTCTGTAGTTCAGCACTATGCATGAAATTTCTCTTGGCAGGCACTAAGTGCTTTGTGTGTGTGTAAGATTTGGGTCTTGCTTTATTTGACAAGGCAGTTCAGGGCTTGCCAGCCTGCTTAGTATACTGAAGCTCTTGGAATTAGGCACTTGTCTAATTCTTAGGCACTGTTTCCCTGACTTGGGACTAAACCAGAAGTTTTGCATTTCCATGATAATTATTCTAAGGTTACTTGAGGCTTGATCAAGGTTACTTGATCACTTGTTATGCATGACAAGTTCCCCCTGAGCAGCTCTGATTGGGTAAGGCTTTTTCCCTGCTATGTAATAACCACATGGCAGATATAATTGCAATAACACTTTTGTATCTATACTGCAAGCTGGTGAATATTTGGAATTTTCTACTTTTCTAGCAGAGTCAGGAAAAATCACAAAGAACAAAGGGATAAAAAGTGAAAAGGGTATCGAAACTAGAACAGATTTTCCAATTTCCATTTTACATGGTTTACTGTCTGGGGTACAGATAACACAGGATCTGATTCAAAACTCTGTTATCTCTAAAATTAAAAATAGCACCAGCGAGGTCCTTCAAATGGAAAATGTAGCTTAACCTTAAATGACAAAATCTCCAGTTGGTTTGGGGAGAGACTTTTAAAACCATTCCTATTTGGTTACTTTGGTGTTTCTTATAGATGTCTCCTGTATTCACCTATGAGCTCTTGCTGTTTTATATTTGTATCTTCCATTTGCCATAATATTTACTATCATAGCTCTTATATTGTGTAAAATTGTGTGTACCCTGAGCAGAAGGGAATTTAATACATGAAATGCACGAAAGTTTTGATGCTCTATGACCCTTTGGATGCCTGTAAGTGACCCCTTGACCTTTTCTGTTACCTCTGACCACATGGATGACCTTTGAGCTCTGGATGACCTCTGACCTTTTGGCAACATTTTGAGCCCATTCTGACCTTTCAGTAACCTTTGACTCTGCAAGTGACCTGTGACCCAGGATGACATCAGAACTTTGGAGATGACCTTTGACTCCTGAATGACCTCTAGTACGTTTTCTATTAGATTTCTGTCAGCATGTCCAGCTCCTTCACCAGGGCTGAGGTCTTGACTATAAGAACATTGCAAATGCTTAGAAGAGCCAGAAGTGCTGTTTATCCTCCCAAAAATAGCTAAGAAAGAACAAGTGAGCAGTGACCAAACTGGTCTGGAATTGAAATCCAGCTTTGTACATTCTGTTTCTCCTCTCTACACAGGCAAGCAACGTAGAAGATGCAGGAGGGGACGAACTCACATTGCTAAGGTAGGATGAAAAAATCTTTTGTTTTAACTGCTTCAAGGAAACTTTTGATATCTCACAAGAAATTTTTATACTGTACTACTCTAATGTAATTACAGTTGGTTTGTTGGAGATTTGCTGGAGGAACAACCTAAAGAGTGAAACTTCTCAAAGTCTTAATGCTGATATGTATTATCTGTAGACAGATAAATGCAGGCCACTGTCACCAGCTGACTCCCAAAAAAATGTATTGTTGATTCCTGGGTGGGTTGTTTGTGTGGGGGTTTTTTCTCAGTATTCCTCTAATGTTTTATTTTGTTTATAAACCTCCATAATCATGGGTCATGTATTGGTGTGACCTGAATGGGCAGGAGGAGCTGCCTGGTATCAGGAAGCATTTAATGAATTTGCACTGGTGTGGAGTTGCACCAGTTGGCAGAGATACAATCAGTAAATTTATCAATAACTGAAGCCCTTTGCTGTGTTTCTGTTAGAAAGACTTGGCTTTTATGAGACTGGCATTTCTCTAAGCAAACAGCATTGTCGTGCCCCAAGACTAGATTTCCTTGCATCATTTCTCCAGCAGACTTGTCTGACCACAGGGACATAACTTAGCAAAAATATTCTTAAAGAAATATTTTACCCATAAAACTTAGAACCACAGTAATGTCTTCCACCCCATTTGCATTTTGGAGTAAAATACATGGACTAAGCTAATGGCCAAGCTACTGGAAAATGACAGTACACATTCCAGTCTTTAAGATACAGTGAGGTTTTTTTCAGGACCAAGTTTTTTGAATTCTCCAGTAAAACAGCTGAGGAAAAGATGTTATGGTTCAGAACAATTTCAAGTATTTCCCAGATATTTTGTACTGCCAGATACTGCTGAAGTATCCCACTTAATATTCTGTTTGCTTTGCCAGTAATGCAGCAGATTAATAAACCACATTAGGTAGGAAATAGCTTTTTGAGAGAACTCGGAAAGATAATTCAAGGTTTTAAACAAAGCCATTGAAGCAGAAACAGGCTGGCATTTCCCAAAAGCTAATCAAATACTAGCAGAGCAATGATGGAGTGTAACACATCATTTGGAAGTCAAAAGTCAAGGGAGAAGATTTTAAAAGATACTTTAAAAAACTCTGCTTCCATTTGCCAGCAGACAGTACATCCCAATGTCAAGGCTCTATCACTATAGAAATTACCAAGTCCTGTTGAAATAATAATCTATTTTGTGAGGGGGCAGCTTCTAAATCACAGTGTTTGCTTAGGTCTGGTGGGGGACCTGCATCTGCTCCTCACTCAGTTCTGGATCTCAGGCAGAAATTCTGGGGATTTAATTTCTACATTTTTGATCATAGTCAAACAACTGGCAATTGTTTTATTCTGGTCGTGCTGAATTTAAGTTCTTCCTATTGACAAGTAATGGTTTGGATGTCCATCTGGGTTATAAAACAATAGAATTTCAGTAGCTGCAATGAGAGGAGAAATAAAAATGGGAAAAAAAAGTGTGTGTAAATGCATTTTATAAATGCTGGAGTGTATCATCAGGCTGTGGCTGCTCAGCTTGAATTCTGCTGGAGCTAGGGCACTCTTCTCAGGGTTTTAAGGTCAAATCTCTTCATATAAAGAGTGGAATTGAAGCCAATTTTTCTGTCTTGTGTTTGTGCCATACGTTTTGAATTTAAAAGTTGTTTAATTCTCAAATATTTTTGGAAAATTCTTGTGCTATGATTTTGTCTCCCTAACTGAAATTTCTGCAGAACCCTAAGTTCTGTATCCTTGAGACATCTAGATTCACATTTCTCAGACAACTTAAGTTCATGGGTGTGCATTCTTCTACAACCAAGGTCTGATGAAGGTCAGCAAAAGAAAAAAGCTTTTTTTCCCCAGGAACTGCTTTTGAATATGCCATTCTTGAAAGCGATTCTTTATTATTTGTTCCAGATGTGTTGTCAAGTGGTCTAGTTGATGATGTGAATTTCCTCACTTGTTTGTATTCATTTCAACAAAACTAAGTAAATGCTGTTGGTAAATATTCACTCTGCAAGCCCTTAGGCCAGTCAATAAAGCTGTAACCCCACCTGTCTGTTACTGCCACTTTGCTGAAGTGAAAATGCACAGTAATTTGTTTCTAGCAAAAGAGGATGAACAAATCACTTGGCCATTTAGTCTCAGGTAGGGTCTTTTCTGAGCACGGACTGGAGCACTTGAGTGGAGTGAGCTGCCCTCTAGCAAGCAGGGGCATTATTTACATGGAGCTCTACTGTTGGTCTAAAACAATTATCCAATGCTAAGGTCACTTCTGAAAACAGCTTTTAGATGTGACAGTCTGCTCCCCAAAACATGCACAAAGACCAAAACCCATGAAATCAGTATGTAGTACAGAGAGCTGTAGCCTTAGTCTGCTGTGATGATTAAAATATTGCAATCAAGAAGCCTGCTGGGAATACTGTAAAGCCTCCTGATTCTAAACCAAAATATTAGTATTTGGTTGCCATAAAATCACCTTTTCTTTAAATCTAAGCACAAGGAATTGCTGCCCAGTTTCTCAGTAAATATTTCAGTAAAGAATGATGCTCTCAGTAGTTCTTGATTGGGAAAGGACAGAAAGTCTACTTTAGCTTTCCCAAATTGATGGCCAATTCTGAACTGAGAGCAAGGCTAGTTACCACACACCTTCTTTCACATGGAATATGTGCTTTCCCTGACATGGAATATGTGCTTTGTTGTCTGGAATGCCTTTGTCCTGCTGCTTTTATAACAAAAGAGTTTCAGGAAAAACAGGATGGTGCTTCCCTTTTTCAGTTATTTCAATTATGTGCTCTTATATTCTACAACTGAAACTTGTCCCAGTAATTTAACATTCATCAAATTCCTTTTATTGTGTAAAAGTGAGGACAACTCACTGTAGGTGAGCAAGTTACAGACTTCTGTGACTTTGACTTTGTGTACCAAGTGCTGTCTTTCGTTTACTGTTACACCCTGTTAAAGTAAACCCCTGCGATGCCGCAAGATCCCTGCCAACTGATTTTCTGTTATGTTTCGTAAAGGGTTAAGTTCAGGGCATATACCTATCTCTCAGCTTAGGAATCAGATATACACAAATGTGTTTGATAGATGTCTACAGAATGCTTAGCAGGCAGTTTTAAGCCCTGTATTAAGTTATTTATTAAGGGCAAATAGAAGTGTGTGTCTTGGAGGAGAGATTATTAGCATATCCAGGAATCTTGAAATGCTGCAGCATGTTTTTCTTTTGGAAAAAAAAATCAAGGCAGATCCATCCTGTTGGGCTTTGGTTTTTGTTACTGTTTAAATGTAAAAGCTAATTATTAAATTGAATTAGATTTACCTGCTCTGCTGGCTAAATGTGAGGGTATATGGAGATGTCACTGTAACCAGGGCAGCGTCACCAGGCTGGCTGTGCACACTGCTAGACACTGCTGAATCAAGCAGGCTCAAATAGCAATGCTGTTGTTATGGGAAACTGGTCTTTTGTCCTGCCTATTCCAATGCCAGAATGAACATGTTGCCTTTTGGAAAGAGATGTGCACAGTAACTGGAGCCCTTGGAGTACAAGATATTAGTGAAGTAAAGCTGACATACCTTGTCACAGCTATCAAGGATGCTTTGTCAGAAACTCCTTAGGGATTAACAAACTAGCAGGTCCACCTAGACAAGTCTGAAATGGATGAAATGTATTTTGAAGGAAGGGATCACAAGGTTGATGTTTCTCTTCCCTCCTCTGCTCACCAGATACTCTTTTCATAAAATATGCGAAGGTGATGGCAATTTGTAGTGAAGACCAAAGATGCAAAAAATAACAAGCAATGGCAGGTGTGTGATAAAGCTTTTCATGCTATTTTTTCTTCTGATCTGATTGTCTGTACACACTTTAAACTGCTGTTTGTTTTTTTGGGGATTTTCTGTCTTTGAATTAGTAAGATTCACCAAGGTTTGGAAATCTGTGGTTACACAATAAACTTGAGATACTCGTGCCTCTTGCAGAAAAATGGGGCTACTTTTAGAGTTTTGTTTTTTTGTTTTATTTTGTTTTTTCTGGTTTTTCGTCATCTCACATACTAAGTATAGAAAATTAACAATCTGCTTTTTAGATTTCCTTGGTAATGAGGTCAATGATGAAGACTAATTAATCAGTAAAAGCTCTTGGCTTTGCCTTAGTCTCCCAAAAGTACTTTTTACATTTCCTAGGTGAGAATGTTAGAGAAATTCACTGTTTTGTATGTTTGTCCACATGCATACTTATGTACATGGGATTGCCTTGGTGTTAGCTGAAGCAATGTAAAATTCTACATGAAGCTTCCTTTCCTTTGGTTTTAAGAGGCTTTTTTTGCTGCTTGATATGAATTTAACCCACTAAACCTGGTTAAAGGGCAATACGTCCATATTATTTTGCTCTAGATTGAGTATATCAGGTTAATATTAGCTCCCCACGGTGTGCCTGCACAGCCTTACTGCAGGGTGATGTGTGATGTGGTGTGACAGCACCGTGTGGCTCCCTCACATCCCTCTAGAATGACCTGTTTTCATCACTCTTACTGCTACCCCACTGCTTGCACTGACCTTTTGAAGTTTTGGGGCTTGGTTTGTTTGTTTTTGTAGTGTGGTGGTTTTGTTTTTCCCACAGTAATGTCTGTAACAGGATTTCTTTCTGTTTATGCAATCAGGCTGGTCAAGAGAAAGCAAGAACAGTCATTTTGGGCAGTGCCTGTGGACATGGAGGGATGGATAGATCCAGGCTAAGCAGACACAGCCACATCTTCTCTGATAGATGAATGATTATGGGGAATGCAATCCACTGTCCAGAGCCAACTCAGCTCTGCTGGATACTGACACAGGGGATGCCACAGGAAATTTTTCAAGTTGCTTCAATGGGGATGCAGACAGAAATTATGGAACTACACTTTCTAAGCAGGCATTGTGCCAAAGGTCAAACTTTCATTTCTAACTTTAACTGTTAGAAAGAATAGAAATTAGAAAAAATTAATTACAAAGGAAAGAACTTT